GAGAAAAAGCTCTGTAAGTTCATTGCCCAGACATGGAGCCCAGCACTTCCAGCTCTGCACCCCGAGCTCTGGACTTTCCTACCCATCTGCTTCCCTTTTAAAATTTAAACAAAGCTTTTAAATTCTGATTATGATGTATATGTATAATGTACAATATATCCGTTATAATGTATATTCACTGTAGAAAATTATAAAATGTTAAAAGTTATAAATGACAAAGTAAAAATAACTGCTATCCTCACACTTGGAGATATTGTGTTGCATTTTCTCCTAGTCTAGTATATATCCTCCTGCTGCTGCCCCACTGCTGGAACTCTCTTTCTAAGCTGATGAGCACAGAGCTCAGTGGCCCCCAGCCCTGCTCTCTCCAGATGCCACTTCCTGAGGCAGTTCACTCTCACTCCTCCTGAGGGGGCTGTTTCTCACTTTCTCCTCCCTCCTCACCCTTGCACTCCCCACTCCCCACTCTAAGGTGATGAGTTTATCTCTTTTCCCACTCAGAGGAAAGAAGGACTCAGGTGAGAACTGTACCATCATCTCCCCACACCAAGACATCTGTACTTGTATCCTCTGCCTTCACAGCAGTGATGATAGATAGTCCTGCTCCTGTCTAAGGCCACCTCTCAGCTTGGGCACAGGATCAGGTCCCCTCCCTCCCCTACATCATCAACTTCCTGCTCTCTACTGGCTTATTCTTTCCTGGATACAAACATGCTGTAATAATTCCCATTGAGAGAGAGAGAGAGAGAGAAACAGAGAGAGAGTAAGAGAGAAAGAGAAAAGTGAAAGAGAGAAAGAAAGCAACTAAATAAATTGAAACAAAATCCTCCCATAAAAATCCACCACTCAATCCCATGTCTCCTTCCAACTACTGCTCCATTTCTATGACACTCCTTATAGGACAATTCCTGAGTCCATTCTTTCACCTACCGTGTCATCTTTTTGTTTTTACCAAATGTTCATTTGCACATAGTTTAAAATGTCCAATACTTCTACAAGGCTTGTTATGAAGACAGATGCTCCCTCCCCCACTTCCTGAATCTCAGAGACAACTAGTTTTAGTTCTTTTAGCTGATTCTCTAATTGTTATTTCTATGCTATAAACAGAATACTTCTAATACTCCTTGTTTTTCATTTTATGCATCATCTTTAGTGAATTGGCTCTTCTTTCACACACCCCTATCCTCCCAATATAATTACTTTATAATTTTGACTAGTTCAATGCGTAGTGTCTGCATTATTATGACCATGTAAACATTAGTTACAACTGAGCATTTAGTAGATATGATTACTTTTCTTTTCTTGAATCAACTTTCTACGTTCCCTGGAGTTAATAAATACCTTGTTTCTCCATTTGCGTAGTTTCTGTTGTATTCATTACTAAATCATTCCACTACTCTGCCCAGAGTCTAAATGTTCATGAACATATTTGAGCACATCAGTTATTCTACCAACTTCATCTTTGTGAAGACACCTGTCCCA